ACCGCCCACGATCCATCACCCCGCCATTGATTAGGCCATGGCACCACCAACACTGAACATTCCCACTCTCATGTCTGACCTTCCCTGGCCTGAACAATTTTTCATCCTCTCCATCTCGTATCATGATTTTCTTTTGATAGAGGTCCTGATGATACATAAAATAGGTTTATGTAAGATCAGCAATCAAGTGTGGGATAAAATGAAATTAATGGACAATAAATAGAGCAATTAATGACAATAATATAAATATCGGATCAACACACAGATATATAGTGGTTTGGTCCGGGTGATCTATTCTACTTCAAAAAACGGCAATGGTGAACGAGAGATCTCTATTGATGAAGCAAGGTAAACAAGAGAGAGAGAGCAATGATTAACTCGAGGGGGTACAATAGCTAAGAGAGAAAATTTATCTGTCTATAGAGAGGTGTAGAGGTAGAGTTCAATGTATTCTCTCATGTACACAGAATTTACAATTTATACGAAGCCTTGGTTAAGGCGGTGACGTGAAGGCTCTCTAGGTCATTACAAAAGGTAAGCGTCATAAAAGGTTGTTTTAATATTCGAGAGTGAGTATTTGGATAATTGTTCCCCACATATTTTAATTCTTCTTTGACTCCTTTGAAGTTGGGTTGGGTCGAATTTTTAATCTGTGTTTGACCTGTCTTTTAGCTGATTTGAGCTTACTTGATTTATGACCCAGCAGGATCTGGACTAATCAAATTAACATATTTGATTTTTTTCCATTCTTTAGAGATTCGATTTGCCAAATCAATGGCCATGGCCTCGAACAAATTAGTGGCTTGGTCGATGAGTTTCACATGCGTATTCAAATTTTGTTGTAAAAGTTAGGGTTGACTTCTCCTAAATAGACTAATAATAACTTGAGTCATCAAAAAAAATTATTTAGAGGTAAGTCTATTTTTAATCTTATTAGTAAGGAGTTAAGTCTATTTTTTTTTTTAATCTCAAAAATACCTTTAATAGTGTTAGTTTAGTCGTTTATAGAAAGTTGAAAATATTATCTACAAGGAGCTATATAAGGAGGTCAATGATTAAATGTGAGAATGCTTGATTTTCGATGATAATTGTCATTTATAAGTTTTTCATAATACTTCAAATTCAAATTCTTAGGAATTATTTTGTCTATTATATATTTAAATAATCGACTTTCAAAATTTGAGATTAATTTGAAAGAGATGAAGGTTAAAGTTGGAGTACGAGCTCAAGATTTTGAATAAGTAATATGGACATTGCATGCCAACTACTTGATGTTAACACAGTAACATCAATTCAGTAACATTAATTTTAAAACATAATTTATTAATGCATATCACTATTTTTTTTATGTTACTATTTTTTATTGAGCATGTTATTACTTTTTCAGTATTACTTTTTTTAAGGATGAAAAATTAGAGGCTTCTTCCTTTGGTTATGAGTCTGAATGCTTCTATTTTTAATTTTAATTTTGTTCAATATTCCATATTGCTATTTTTTTTTGTTGAAGATGTTACTACTTTTGATTAAACATGTTACTATTTTTGTTGAACATGCTACTATTATTATTTTTTTAAAATATAAATATCGAATGTTACTATTTTTTTTTAAAAAATATTACTATTTTTTGTGTTTAAATAGTATTAGTTTTTGTATTTAAATGATACTTTTTTTTTGTATTTGAATGTTACTATTTTTTATTTTTAATGTTATTATGTGCGTGTGTGCATGAGATATATATATATATATATATATATATATATATA